AGCGACGTCATACCACTAGACCATATTCCCGAACATGACGGTGCCGGCAAATACAGCGTACATATTAAGTGAACAGTCAGCGTGCAGTAGGACACAGCTAGTCCGACCTGCTTGTGGCTTACTCGCTGCGCCTGTCTCCTTTTGAGCTGACCATGAGCGATGAATCGCCAAACCCGTAGTTGAGAATTTGTGTTGCGGTATGACTACATACACAGTAATGAACAGGAGGTGGCTGTCGCAGGAGCGGAACGCGGCGTTGTCGAAGATCTGGTTGAGGACAGCGAGCTTCTAGCGATGGGTCTGGAAAAGGGCTCGATGGGAGCAAGGGCGAGGCCTAGCTTGCCTGCGGCCAGCATGGTGACGAAGGCGGCAGGATGCTCAGACGAGATGCTGCGATCTCGAGAACATCTACAGCCGCGACTCTCGAAGCCTGATCGACTTGTGTACGATTCCGTCCGAGCTCTGACTGTGAGTCTGTCAACGTGGGCATCAAATGACGGTACTCTATGCGGTGAGCTCTGCAGCCGACTGGAGAGGGGTCGCTGGACGACCGGCAGAGGCGCAGGAACCGCAGTCTACGAAAGCCTTATTCGACACGAGCCAGGGCGGCCGGCGGAGGTCGAGTGCGCCTCGATTGCGCTGGTGGTTGCGTGAGAAAAGCATCTCGTTGCACATTTCGACGCTTGCACTGCTTTCGTAGTGTGCACTACTTGCATCGCCGCCTACGAGTCCGACGTGGGCATGGCCACACAGAGCGGATGGCCAAGCTCAGGCTCGCTCTCTCGTCTGCGGCGGCGGTGGATGGCGCTTGACGAGCCTGTGAACCCAGAAAATCTCGAAGCTGGCCAGCGCTGGCCATGCTGGGTTTCTGGGAGGCAGCTCGGCTGGTCGGGACGCGCACGTCGGCAGGTGTCGCGCAAAAGTCTCCGCCCCGCCGAATCCAAGGAGATTTTGAAGTTGGCGCGCGAACGCCCATTTGCATTTTGAAGGTCTAACAACCTTTTTCAAACAATCCCTAATATCATATCGACGGCGAAAAGGCCAGCCAACAGGCATGAATAGCGGACGAGCCTCTTCCGCAACAGCCAAACTCGAGGCAGCGGCGTCTGCATCTGCGTCGACACCCTGCTGCGCCCTGCTGCACCAAAGCTGCACCAAAGCTGCATGGCATTCGCGCTAAAAAAATCCCGGTTCAAGGCACACACCGACATTCAGGACAGCGCCAGCTTGGGGCAGCTCAGCTACACAGCTTCGTCCTACCTTGGTTGGCCGCTGTCAAAAAGCTTGTGCTCCGCTTCGAGAATCACGCCCTAAAATCTCGGAGCAATGCCCGCCGGCCCTTGCCCTCAGCCACGCTGCTCCTGCTCCTGCCCCTGCTCTGGATGTTCCTGCTCTTGACTGGTTTGAGATAAGCGCGCCCCACCTGCTTCGGTGCAGAGACTTTCCTCGGCTAGCACATCCGTGGAAGGCCCGCACCTGCTTCCCAAAGGTCTTGGCGCTTTTCCCAAGGGTCCACCTTCTCGAACCTCACACATGAGGCGTGCCAAGCCTCCGCCCCGACCTTGGCCGCCGCCTTTCATCGTCTTCAGAGCTGGCGCATGTTCCTGACCTCCCTTTCTACAACCATGTCCTCGCTGCTTGCTGCTTGACAGTCTTGCGCCAGCCAAACGCTGCCCGCATTGCCCAACCATACATAACCAAGCCCTCGAGCCCAATTCCCCTCCGCGCCTCCATCTTTCTCCCTCTTGCATCCTCGCTCTCCGCCAACTGTCGCAGCTCCAAATTCAAGTCGCCTCGTCCGCCGTCGTCATCGCCCCCGCCATACTCGCAGCTACAGCTGCGTCGCAAGGCAAATGCCGCTATGCGCCACCCAGGATGCTAGCATCCTCCCACCAGCACCCGCATCGCTCTGCCGCGACGCAGACTTCACCTGGGCATTTCACCTGACCATCTTGCAGCTCTTGCCTGCAGCCGTCTATGTAGCCCTCTGCGCACTCGAGTCTTGGTCGCTCCAATCCAAGCCAAAGTACCTCTTGGACGCTCGTTTCCGCGACAAGTCCTACCTACTCAAGATCGCCGCTCCCTCCCTCCTTGCTCTGGCTTCTCTCGCTCGTCTCTTCGTCTTCATACTGCCCTCAACGATCCGTGCTCAGCTCCAACAGATCCATCACCTTCTCGTCCCCGCGCTCGTGCTCCGCATCGCAGCAGCGCTCGCTCTCGTCGCCACCGTACACTTCCAATACTGCCGCCAATCACGACCCAGCACCACCAACGTCGTCTTCCTCACAATCGCCCTCATCTTTGACGCCGCCTTTGTTCGCACGCTCGCACTCTCCGGCTTCGTCAGTACATCGGCGTTCGCCCTTTCGGTTCTCAGCGCCGCCGCATTGCTCGCCTGCCTTTTTGTCGAGTGCTTGTCCAAGCGCACGCTCCTCATCCAGTCCATGCACGCTCGCGCCGCCGCCCCCACTGCCGCCGTTCCGCTCACGAATGCCGCCCGTGCTGCTCCGTCTCAGGCCCTCACCGCCAGCGTCCTTTCCCGCGCCGCTCACCTCTGGCTTCTCCCTACTGTCTGGCGCGGTCGAAGCCAAGAGCTCGTCATCGACCATCTCGAACAGCCAGACGACCCACTTCAAGTCCAAGCCGACATCGATGCATTCCAGCGCCGTTGGTCTTGCCTCGATGCCACACGGGCCGGACCGAACGCACTTGCATGGACCGTCCTGGCCACCTTCCGCACTACGCTATTGCGTCCCGTTCTACCCAAGCTCCTCTTCATCGCCGTCTCCTTCGCCCAGCCGTTCCTCATCGAGCGCACCACCTCGTATCTTCAGAGCCTCGGACACGCCCCTTCCGAGCCCAGTTACCACGGATGGGGCCTCGTAGCCGCATACGCTCTCGTCTATGCGCTCACCGCCCTTCTCACCGCCCACTACCAGTCCATCGTCGACGACTCGGCCTGCAAGATCCGTCGCACGCTCGTCTCCATCATCTACCAAAAGTCTCTCCGCCTTCGCCAGGATGCCGCTCTGGCAACCGGCGCTGGCGGCGCCACAACTCTCATCAGCGCCGACATGGAGCGTGTCTGCAACGGCGTCGTGCTGATTCACGAGGTGTGGGCGTCCCTGCTCCAGATCGCCATTGCGCTTTGGCTTGCCTACGAGCAGATCTCATACGCCTTCCTCGTGCCCGTCGTCATGACCGTGATCAGCATCGCCCTCACCACCTACATCAGCAATCGCATGCGTGCCATCGTCATCCGCTGGACAAAGGCAATGCAGGTCCGTGTCAAGCTCGTCACAGCCACGATGAAAAACATCACCTCCATCAAGCTTGCTTCCCGCTTCGCCATCATCTCGGAGCGACTCTCCGCCCTGCGTGCCCTCGAGCTCGCCGCCTTTCGCGCCGCCATGTGGATCGCCACTCTGCTCGTCGTCGCTGCCAACGATCTCGAGAACTATACTACGCTCCTCACCCTCATCGCCTTCTCCGGAATCGCCCAGAACAGCCATTCCGCAGCAACAGACTCGCTCGACACCACCAAGCTCTTCACCGTCATTTCCGTCCTCACTCTGCTCCGCAACCCGCTCTTCCTGCTCGCACAGTACGGTCCAATGCTTCTGGCAGCTCTCGGCGCCTCTGTTGGAATTCGAGACTTCCTTCTCCAAGACGAGCTGGCCCCAAGTCACGATGACGCTAGACACGGCCCGACCGCCTCGTCATCATCATCAAGCTGCAGCCTCGAACCCAAGTCTGACAATGCCCAGCCTCTCCTTGCTCCCGCTTCATCGGTCTCTGAAATTTCGAGCATCGCTGCAAGGGGCGTCCGCCTGCAAGTCGGCACAAAGTCTCTCATCTCGGATTTAAACCTCACGATCAACAAGGGACAACTCGCATGTCTCACTGGTGCGACCGGGACCGGGAAAAGCTCGCTCCTGCTTGCCTTCCTTGGGGAGTTGAGGAGCTCCGCGGGCGAGCTACTCGTGGAGCGAAGCCCTGCTTACGGGATCGCCTACTGTGCTCAGTCGACCTGGCTTCAGGACGCCTCCATCCGCGACAACATTCTCTTTCACTCGCACCTCGACCAGGAGCGCTACGATGCGGTGATATGGTGCCTCGATCTTGAGCCGGACTTTGCCGCTATGTCGGAAGGCGACGCTACTCGAGTTGGGCCGCAGGGCTCCAAGCTGTCCGGTGGTCAGAAGAGCAGAGTTGCCCTGGCAAGAGCGCTGTACAGCTCCAGTCCACTCCTCTTGCTCGACGACTCGCTGGCAGCGCTCGATGCCTCTACCACAGCCAAGATCGTCTCTCGACTCCTTGCCCGTGATCCCGAAGGTCGAGATGGCAGTCCGTTCGCTCCCGCCCGACTGGTGCTCGGGGGCAGGACAGTCGTCCTCGCTTGTCACAAATTTCCGCTTGGGATCCAGCCGGATGTGCACATTGCCCTCAGTGCCAAGAAGGAGACCGCGGAAACGTTCGCGCACGTCGCCGTCCAGTACGCTAGCCATCAGACCGTCACTTTTCCACCTTACTCGAAGTCTCTGCCACTCAAAAGTGCTTCCGCCAGCTCCGATGAAGGCTGCGAGGACAGCAGCGAAGCCAGCGACGCGGATCCTTCGCCCAATCCACGAGCTCAGCTGCGTCCTTGGGAAGCCTTCAAGTTCTACTGCCGCACCTGCGGTACAGCACGCTCACTCGTCTACGTAGGCATCAGCATCTTTGCTGCCGCTTCCCTCGCCTCGATCAACATCTATCTCTACTTCTGGTCGAATGCCAACGATCGCAGGCCCAACGCAAGCCTGTGGGCCTGGATCGGAGGCTACGCGGCAGTGGTCACGGTCAACTCGCTGGCACTCACAGGTCAGGTCTACTACCTCTTTATACCCGTTGCGCAGGCCTGTGCGCGGAGGATGCACTCGATCATCCTGAGCTCGACGCTGGCCGCACCTCTGTCGTATTTCCTTAACACCTCGGGCGGTGCCATCGTGAACCGCTTCAGCCAGGACCTCTTTGTGTCGGACAACGNCTCGACGCTGGCCGCACCTCTGTCGTATTTCCTTAACACCTCGGGCGGTGCCATCGTGAACCGCTTCAGCCAGGACCTCTTTGTGTCGGACAACGACATGACCAAGGCCCTGTTCAACGTCTCCTCCAATCTGGGCGTTGTGCTCGGCAGTATGATCCTTCTGTCCTTGGCATCGCCCTGGTTCTTGCTCATCTTGCCCGTTCTGCTGCCCACGCTATGGGCGATCAAGTCGTTTTACCTTCGCACATCCGGACAAGTTCGCAAGCTCGACCTCGAATCCAAGTCGCCTCTGTATACCCTGTTCGGCGAGACGATCGACGGCATCGTCACCATCCGAGCCTTTGGGGGCGGCCGAGCATTTACGCAGCTCAACGAGATTCTTGTTTCGCGCAGCCAGCGCGCCTTTTTCCTCAACCTCTCGCTGATGCGTTGGCTGACTCTCGTCTCTGGCCTCATTGTTGCTGGCCTCTCTACGGCATTCTGCTCCCTCAGTGTCGGCCTCGCCCAACGCAGTGCAAAGCACGGAGCAGACTCGGACACGGTCGGATGGGTCGCGGTCGGGCTGACGCAGCTCATGATGCTCACTAGCGCGATCACGATGCTCACGAAAGCCTGGACTCAGCTCGAGCTGTGTCTCGTTGCGATCGAACGCTTGCAGCAGGTCGCCACGCTCGAAGGCGAGAAGGATGATGGGAGCCGCTCGTACGAAGGCGAGAGCACGGAGCGTACGTCAGCGATGGGGGCTGAGGTGGCTGTCGAGTCTGTCGACGTCGGCTACACGCTGCCCGACTCGGATGTTTCCACCACGGTCCTGCGCGACCTTTCGTTCACGCTTGCGCCAGGAGAAAAGGCGGCCGTGGTCGGCAGAACGGGAAGCGGCAAATCTTCGCTCATCCAGGCGCTTTTGCGCTTCGTTCCACTGTCTTCTGGAAGCATCTCAATCGAAGGCGTCGACACAACCGACCTGCGCCTGCGAGCTCTGCGACAAAGGATCCTGGTCTTGCCGCAAGAGGCTGTGGTCGTTTCGTGCTGCACGCTGCGGGAGAATCTCTTGATGATGCTGGACAATGCCGACAGCGTCGATGTGCTCAGCGACTCCGAGCTGTGGGACGCTCTGAAGCGGGTCGGGCTCGACGCCATGACTGCCAAGTGGGGCGGCTTGGATGCGGCTTTGGATCAGGCGGACGAGCTGAGCAATGGCCAGAGGCAACTTCTCTCGCTCGCACAGCTCATCCTTGCCTGCAAAGCCATCCGTGCTCATCATGGGCGCAGCCTGACTGGATCCGAGGGCCACTTGATCGTTCTGGACGAACCGACATCGTTCCTCGACGACAGCGGAGACACCCTTTTGAAGGAGCTGATGCAGGATCCACTAGCCCTCGGCGACTTTACGGTCCTGATGATCTCGCATCGCTTCGGGCCCATCCTTGCTTGCGACAAAGTCCTTCTTTTACACAAGCACAACGAAGCTTCGACAGGGCCGTCCTACGAATTCGGGTCACCGAAAGACCTGTTCTACGCACCCGCATCCAGTTTCGGAATCCTGGCTCGCGATGCCGGCATCACAAGATGGTAGACTTGTATACTGGCAGTCGGCAAAATCGATCCCCGTCACGCAGAAATCCTCCCACCGTGACTGAAGAAGCTTGCTGTTCACGGATCTGTGTTGTCTGTGCGAAGTGTGACGAAAGAATCAATGGAATTGCCAAGCGCGAGGGGTCTGGGAACCTCCGGTGAGCTGGGTGGTAGCGGTGTGGAGGCCTAGGACGGGAGTACCGGTGTGAGGGCCGGTGTTCCATTGCAGTTGCATGCTCAAGTTGCTTGCAACAACAGACGCGAAACGAAATCAATTCCTATGATCAGCGAGACTTACGCTTGCCAAGAGATTTGCTGCCGGAGGCCTCGCCATTGCGCTCCTGGCCTTGAGTATAGGGTTGACGTTTGCGGATATCCTTGAAATCGTCGCCACCCATCCTATCGTAAGCGAGATCGATGATGGAGGCCTCGTTTTCTGGGCAGAGAGAGTCGACGTAATGGAGGTACCAAGGACGCATGAATTCAAAGTTGACGGTGAACTCTTTGCCCTTGGTCTTGAGCCTCCAAACGTCCCAATAGACTGCCGCCTTGACTTCCGCACCAATACCATCGAAAGTACAGTGTGTGGTCTTGCGACCTCGACCCTTGCCCACGCAGCACGTGCCGAGAAACTTTTCGGGGCCTGTTTGTTCTACGCCAAGATAAAACCGACGTCGCGAAGGAATACGCTCCAAGAAGTCCTTGACCATTGTCCTTGTAGCGTCAGTCTCGAGCATGTTGAGGTACTCCTGCATCCTCTGCGGCTCGTTCATCAGAGCTCCGCGCCCATGCTGATAGAGTGCGGCGAGATCATAGAGCTCGATGGCTTTCTGGAGGTCACTGAACTTTTTTGTGGCGATGCGACCTGCACCCCTGACGGTCACATGAACCGTCCAGTCTGCGGCCCCATGGTCTTGACCAACGCCAATGAAACCGCGAGTCCTTCTGATGTTCTGTGCATTGGCGGAGTGATTGGTGAGGCGCAGATTTCCCAGTCTGTTGTCGAGAGGGTCTTGATTGATATGGTCGACGACATCGCAAGGTCCAGCGCCCATAATCCAGCGTGAAAGGCTTTTGGTCTTTCCGTCAACGAAGAGGTTAGGCCGATTGTTTTGAAGCCAGACGCTGATTCCCTAGCTCGTACCTTCTTCCATGTATCATCGCTTACAAGGACCCTTGCGCCAGAGCTGGTGGCGATGAAGGCTGCATCATCTTCTCTGTCGGTCACCTTGAGTTTTTTTTCCTTCTCCTTCCAATCGGCTTCCGCTTGAATTTTTTTGGCATCGAGGTCGGCCACCAGCTTTTTGGCCGCATCTTGAGCGGCCTGCAGCGTCGCGTGTTTGCTATCGGGTTGAATCCTCTCGTGATAAAAGATGACGAAAATGCCATCGATACGATGGATGATAGCGCCGGTCGGCATCACAGCGACTTGAGAGGATCGGGTATTTTCGTTGGGCACTGCGTTGAGCAAGTGAGGTGTTTTGTCGAGCTGATCCCCGAACAGATGGCGACAAACAAGATTGTACGCCAGCGCCGCCGTCTCGGCGCAATGGTAACTTCCCTGACCAATACCAGCAACCTCCGGCGTGAACCTGTTGCCACGCTTTTTGACCCGAACGAACCCGTTGGAGTCACGTTTCTTTTTGCGGTTGAAGTTATTGAAGCTCGGAGTCACCCAATGCAGATTCGCTGCAGTGTTGTTGAGGGCGTCACCATCGGCATGGTCAGCAAAAACCCGGCTCGGATCGCTAGGAAGTGGGCCCTGCAGTGCGACGGCCCTGCCGAGGTCCATGCTGCCAATACGCATCCTATCTTGTCCTTTTACTTGGTAGAGCGTTACGTTGAAGATGAATCTTTCGTATGCAGTGTCGATTTTGCCTTCCACGATATGCTGTTTGTTTGCTTGGCGAGCACGAAAGTAGGTCACCCCATCTTTTCGATCGTGAATGGTGATGTGGGTGTTAGTTTCCGTTGCGCGTGGCACTTCAATTGGCAGGTCGCCATATAAAGCGCCATCAGAGCGAGGCTCCTGTGGCCAAGGGTCAGGGGCCGATGACTTCGGCAAATCTTTGCTCGTCATCCTTGGTTATGCTGGATGGACATTGATGGTCCGAAAAGAAGTTAAGGGTCCTCCTCATCTAGCAGTCAGATCCGTGCTCGGACCAAGGCTCTGCAAGAGCAAAAGGCATACACGCAGGGTCAACTGATGGCTCAGTTCTGCTGAGTCATGGAAAACTGGGCGGATGGATTGCGACGGGACGGCAGAGATTGGAGGAAAAAAGTATGACAACGAGAAGAAAATTAGTACTTACGGTTTTTTCAGCGCGCCCACAGCGAGGCCCACAGAGCGTACGCCCAGGCGCCGACGTCCAGACTCGGCAGGCTGTTGGGCCATTCGGGCAGGACGAGCGCGGCGGCTGTTCCTGCGTGGCCGGCGGCGCTCTTGGCAGCCTGCAGCGCGGCGACGCCCGATGCGCGCGTCCAGCCCGCAGGACTCGCTCCGAACCTGCCGTCTGCAACGGCGAACGAGGTGAGCTTGTCCTTGACAGCGCCGCCAACGATGCCCGCAGCCGCCATGAACGCGGCAGGCCCAACAGTCGGATCGCGGTTGTCGTCGCCGGGATCCTCGACGTCGCCGGTGGCAGGTGCAAAGTAGAAGCCGGCCACCAGCACCATGTACGACAAGATGCAGATGGTGCCGCGGTAGTAGTTGGACCTACTCTCGATGTACGTATACGTGAGCAGGAACACGCTAAAGATGATCGCGATCACGTCCCAGCGCGGGAAGATGAGCGTGAAGCTGCGGTGGATGAGGTTATCGTCGGCGATGCCCGCGTTGTAGTACGCCGAAAAGACGACCATGGCGGGGATCTGGATCAGACACACCTGCAGCGCGTACGCCGAGCCGATCTCCATCGACAGCGCAATGTTGCCGTTGATGGCAAACGACATGGCGTTCATAAACTCGGTCGTGTTGGGCACGAGCGCAAACAGCGTGATGCCCAGGAATTTTTCGTCGATCCCCGAGCCGTCCAGCACGACGTCCACCACATCCACCAGGATCTCGGCGATGATCGCATACAGCACCGTGCAAGACAGCAGCACTGTCAGCGAAGTGCCGCGCGACCACGACGGCGCGTCGTGCCCACCGTGGCCCTGCGCCTCTTCCTCCTCGTGCATCGACACGTGCTTCTGCGCTGCGCCTCCACCAACAGGGTGCCGCAGGTGGCTGCGCTCGCCCGTGGCCGCCTGCTCGTGCTGGTGCTGCTGCTGCATCACATTGTGGAACGCCGAGGCGGTGAGCGCGACGGCGCGGTCATATACCTCCTGGCTAAAGTGCTCCGGCAGCTGCAGTGGTCGTGGGCCATCTTGCGTCGCATCGGTGCCCTGGCGCGTATGCCCGCCTCCGACACCCTTGACAGTGCCAGACCCCGACGCCGCGCCGGTGCTGACCGCCGACGACTGGCCCGCAGGGCGGTCGCCCGCCTGCGACGTCGGCAGCAGCTGTTGCATCACCGCCG